ACGGTGGACCCGGTTGAGATCGACACTTGCGAAAAAAATTGTAATGTTTTGATATTTTTTTAATGCAACTGAAACTTTTAGTCATGTTTACAAACCTACCGCAAACCAATTTATTCGTGAAGCTGTTAATATCGTCGGTGCTTTTAGAGAATTTGAGAATGCCGTTTACGTGAGTTATTTTTGTGATTTTATGAAGGAAAAGTTTTTAAAATATTATGCACATATTCCGCAGATTTATGGTATTGCATTTATTCTCGATCCTCGTTTTAGACTATCTAATTTGGAAGATTGTTTCAACTTCTATTATCTTGCGTTTTTTGGTGAATTTCCAATGTATGACGATAACCCCATAGATCCGAAAACGGAATACAACGAGGTTAGTACTTTATTTTATGCCTTATTTAATGAGTTTCGTGCACAATATAGCAACGCTCCCCCTCCCCCGTCACGAACATCTTCATCTAAAGGAAAATCGATTTTTAAATCTGCATTTGGCAATCTTATGAAAAAAACAAAAACAACTCACGTCACTGAACAAAGTGCATTGAATGAGATTACTTTGTATTTAACATATGAAGTTGATTTTGAAGAAAATGATGACTTTGACGTTCTAGACTGGTGGAAGTCAAAAGAAAGAACGTTCCCGATTTTAGCACGGATGGCTAAGCAAGTACTATCAATGCCGATTTCAACAGTTGCTGTGGAACAAGAATTTAGTTCGGCCGGCAACGTCCTAACGGCATCTAGATCGAGATTGAGCGCGGAGTCTCTTGAGACGCTTATATGCTACCACGATTGGTTGAAGGCCGCACGTAGAACTCAAGAAATGAGCATCACCCCCTCCCAAGATTTTATGGATGACTCAACAACCGATGGTGGCTCTACCTATGCCGGAGATTCCGATTGATTAGTATTTTAGAATTTATTATAAAATGTATTTTATAGCACTTGTCAAATTTATTTATACTTGTACTTCATATTTCAAAATTGTAAACTTGTACTTCATATTTCAAAATTGTAAATTTGTAGTTGTACTTCAAATTAATTTGTAAACTTGTACTTCATATTTCAAATAAATATGTGTTCACTTTTTCATATGTAGCACTTCTCAAATTAATTAATTGGTTACAAACTAACGACTTAAAATTATTTTTCTAAAATATAAAGCCGGTTTTTAAATTAAAAATACATTTACAATATGTAATTTGTTTAAATACTTATACACCTATTTTGTAACATTTGTAAATTATAAATCAAACCACTTTTCTAAGTACAAATAGTTTTAGTTTTACTTAATTCATTAAATTAATTAATTTATTTTACAATATGTATAACTTAAAAAAAAAAATGAAATCAAACCTCCCAAACGGCTATATAGCCGTTGGGGCTATGGGTGGGGGGCAGGGGGGTCCCGGGGGTGGTGGTGTGGGGTTCAAAAACATCTATAAATACATCTATTTTCTAACATTTTTCTACACCTCTTCTCCAATTCTTCTCCAACTCTTCTCCATCTTCATCTTCTCTTATTATCCTACATTTCTACTTATACATATACCATTTTAAATATGGAAAGTACATCTTCCCTTATGCAAAACAATTTTGACAAGTGGAAGGACCCGAAGACCGGACTGTGGTGGGCAACTTGCAGGTGGTGCAAGAAAGAGTGTTGCTTGGGGCGTTCATACGGATACGGGATGCCAATAAAACATATGAAGTCTTGTGACAAAGGGAAAACAACAACCAACGGTGGCGGAAATCCCAATTGATATTCATTAGAAAATGTATTTAGTATTGTTATTTTTTTCTCAATTCTCAAATGTAGTTCTTATTTCAAATAAATGCACTTGAACTTTGTTTTTAATAGGAATTTGTATAATATATAACTAATAAAAAAAAACTTGCCCGGCCCGGCCCGACGGGTGGCCCGACCCGTGACCCGGGCGGGTGGCCCGGCCCGAACCGGAACCGGCCATTGCCCGGGCCGGTCCCGGGCCTACCATTACATGACCCGAGGCCCGACCGGGCCTTGACCCGGCCCCGGCCCGGGCCCGACCCGGCCCGGGTCCATCACTAATGTTATGTGTGTGTAAACAACTTTGTGGGTTAGAGAAAAGACACGCGGGAAATCCCGGGGGTTTTAAGTTGTGATATTCTGAGAGAGAATATCCGAAATGGAGTAGACATTATTATGGCGCGTGATTATGGTGAGGGTGTGGTAAAATAAATTAAAATATCATGGAATATGTGGACTTATTTATCTTTTGTGAATTTATTACTACGTATTTAATTATTGTGCACTTCGATATATGTAAGATATAATTTTTTTATTGATAATGTTATTAATTAAATATAAATCATTCGTTTAAATAGAAAATGTTGAGAACAATAAAAGGCCTTACGGAAGGTATTTATAAATTTATGTACATTGTGCATTTTTTACATTGTGAAATAATTGCAATAATGTCTTTTATTTTCAAAATTTCTTCTTCTAGACACAATAAGCGACGAATATTTGGATTTTGTTTAAAAAAGTTCTCCCTGTTATTTAAAAAATGTGTCAAACCCTCTTGTGTTATAATTAATCATGCACAAAACCCTTCTAAGAAAAAATTTAATTTTTAAAAATGAAAAATGGTTAGTTTTTTTTGTATAGTTTATAAACTTTGACAAACCTACTTGCGTATTCAACAATATTACAGAGTATTAAGAAAAATGATTTCAAAATTGTAAAATTTGTTCTTTGGGGGGGGGGGATTGCACATAATTAATTATAACGCAGGGGGGTTTGATGCATTTTTTAAATCATACGGGCTAATGCGCATAATTTATATTTCACGAGGGGGTTTAGCACATTATTCCCCCAATCTCCCGTTCACTTGTTCTCCCTGCCTCCCATTTATTTTTATTTTCTTCTCCCTTCCTTGCCCCAGATTATTTCTTTTGCATTTATTTCTTCCTAACTCTCGTTCTTCTGAAAGGCTGCAGGCAAGGGGGTTGACAAAGGTGAGGGCGACAGGCGGTGGACGATGGGAGCTGGGGAAGTTTTGGGAGATAGGTGGCGCGCGGCGGCGGTTGGTCGGTTGGAGTAGTTGCGGGCGACAGGTGGCACAATGGCAGTGGTTGGGAAATTTGTGGACGACGGGCAATAGGCGATGCAGATGGGAACGGATGTAGTTATGGACGACGGGCGGTAGGCGGCGCGGATGGGAACGGAAGTAGTTGTGGACAACGGGCAGTAGGCGGCGCAGATGGGAACGGAGGTAGTTGCAACTTGTGATGGAGGGAGGTGTATGGGTAGGGGGGCCTTGCCCCCCCCCCCCCAACTTTTTTTTTTGCTAGTTAGTATTAGATATGGAATAATCGAAAAAAGAATTGGACCAGAATACATGGTAGAAGCCTGTGTTTGAGATGCTTTCGGATAGTATTTTTTATTAAATTTTGTAACCATGTTTTTCGTGAAGTGTTACTTATGTGCACCAAATTTCAGCTTAGAATTCAATCGGCAGGTCAACTAAATAAATTATGGAAAAACACTGTGTTTTATATATATTTTGGCGCAATGTTTTTCAATAATTTTTTTATCGACTTTCCAATTGAATTAATTATTAACTAAGATTTAGGGTAAATAATCTGCACATCATGAAAAACATTCTCAAAAAATTTCATCAAAAAAATCAATTCGGAAGCACCTCAAACATAGGCAGTCGAACGGCGGATCTTGCATGGCAGTTTTGATAGGATTGTTCCTTATGAAATATCTTCATATACGTAGTATATGATTAAAAATATGATAAAAATATGTTTTATTCCACAAATACTCCCTTCGTTCCATAAAAGCTGACCAATGTTGACTTGCACGTAGAATAATAAAATAAAAATTGTATGGTTGATATTTGTGCAGAGGAAAGAGAAATAGTTTTAGCCACATATATGTTGCTTTTAATGGAAATGACAAAGTTTTTTGGGACAACCAAAAAAAGAAATTTGGCCAAGTTTTATGGGACGGGGGAGTAGATCTTACCTAGTCCTATAAAAATTAATTTGATTAAAATTTGCCAAAAAATAGTGAATAAGACATATTTTGAGTTTTTTTAACGAAACTGGCTTAACTTATCATTACCAAACGGACCAAACCAAAACAGGTTACAAAGTGAGAACAAGCCTCCTCCTGCCTACCGTCCGCCCAAGGACCAGACATATTTTGAGATTAAACAACGACAATACTATTATGAACTTTATTTTTGCTTTAATCCTATTTAGTGAAATTTCTTTTATTGTTAGTGTTCTTTCTCGGCCCCCCTACGACTAAATCCTGACTCCTTCCCTGCTTGTGAACGACCGGCGGCAGAGGCCTAGGGAAGCTGTTTGCGGCAAATGGGGATGTAATGAGCAAAGGGTATTGCGGGATGAAATCTAGGAACATGTGGGCTACGAGTCTAGGACCGACGATGATTGCTATAGAAAGAAAGAGAATAGCAAAGAAAGGAAAGACTCCAAGAAGCACTAGTCGAATGGAAACATACGGGAAGAAGGGGAAAGAAGAAAGAGAGAATGACAAGAAAAAAAAGGAAAAGTAAAAAAAATGTTAACACGTGGACATCTAGCTTAGCAATAACGGCAAAACCTATATCAGACCAACTAAATGGCTAATTTGACCACTTTTTAATACTTAGGGGACTTAATTGAATCACTTTATAGTATGATAACTCAATTAACTTTTTCGTAAAACTAGATGAACTTACTTGAGTGTTTTTCCAAAATATTTTTCCTATATTTGATTAATATTTATTAAAGTATAGGTGCTCAAACATTTTGACTTCAATATGATACTCCAGTAAATAAATGTGTGCCTTAGAATAATGTATCTTGAATATAATATCAAAATAATTTTAAATAATTTTTTCTACTTCAACAATATCATTAATTATATATTTTGAATACGGAGTAATTAATTATACTTTATTTTATTTAGTAAATAACCCGATATAAAAAAAATTTACTTTGGGTTAATATTAGTTTTCCATTCAAATCAACATAATATGCCCTTTTGATAATTTTACACAAATAACAGTTTGCAACAACATGTTATCCAAACATCTGATTCTCTATTTCAAACAATAGAATCAATACCAAACACTCCAAGTAGAATCACTTTATCATACAACAGATTTTGTTCTTCTTCTAACTTAAAAATAGAAGCAGAAGCAGAATCAATTCCAAACGCTCCCATATATATCATTCTAAGTTTTGCTCTTGATGGAAATTAAACTATTGATCCTTTGGCTTTTGAATCTTCACATAGGGGAGTAAACCCAACAAGTATTTGACAATTGGATCCCATCCCCGTTGCTGAGCACGGCAATGCATCAGAAATGTGTTGGCAAAATACGAGTTGAACCCCATCATCACGTGCCACATTGCATGACCTTGTGGATTAAAGGGCCATGTCGAGATATACTTACAAAACAAGCCATCTAATAAAAAGCATGCGGTCCCAACCAGTAAAGTGGCCACATACAATTTGGCAAGACGCTTAGCTGACGTGTCTTTTGTGTGAATGTAATATTTGTACGCCCGAGGAATGCACAGAAGGCAGAGTAATGCATAGTGCACCTTGAAGACAATCGCAAAGCGAACCTGTGAATGTACAATGGCAAATGCTGCACCATATAGAAACAAAAAGGTAGGCATAGTGCTCCTGTAGTGCCAATCTGGTGAATAGAGAATGTACACATAAAGAAGCATTTCCCACACCATTGGTGTCTCATCACCTTGTTGTTGCCTGTCAAACATGAAGATCTTCAACTACAACAAGATCATTAAACATAGTTTTATTCTAAATTTCTTCTTAGCGGCCCTTCTAGTTCTGTCATCAGTTAAAGAGGTATCTTGTCAATTGTCATGTCTAAACGCATCACATATTTCTTGTATCATGTTATAAACAATCAAACCCAACAATTGTTTAATTCCCATTTATGCAAGATATTATCATCATGAAGAATATTCCAAGGAAAAAAACTTATAAAATCAATATCACAGTTTATGCAAAGTTCCCCTGAAAAAATGCAATAAGCTTTAGCATCATGTTTGAAACATATTATCATCATGAAGTTAGAATATGCAATAAGATTATTGATAATTGATAATCAGAACATTCACCGAAGTTCAAAATGCCAACAGAAAGTTGATGTAAGGCAAAAAAATGGAGAAGCTCTTACATTCGTTGCAACGATGCATGATAAAACATGCTTCCTATGGAAAGAATCATGTTTGATATGTGGAGGACGCTAAACCTTTTCTCAAATCTCTGACGTACGGCATTCACAAGACCAATGAGAGCCAGAATAATGCATGGGGTGTTTGAGACAGTATTGAAAAACTCTGCAATATAAGACGAGTAGACATAGTTCGGTTCACACCATTCTTTAGAAGTCACAGGGCCCCAAAAACTTGATATATTTTCTGTCATTGTTCAGAATATGTACCTGAATGAAAGTATGTACAAAATTCATTTTCAGCAACTATTTCCCAAAACTTGCATAAGAAACAAAGTTAAGGATAGAAACCTTAGTGAATACTTATGGCTATGCCTTGGCCCAGGGAAATTATAAAGCGATATAATTATGTACATAAAAGAATATTCATTTTCACTGATGCTAGAATTCTTGCTTTTGTAAAGTGGTCCTTGGTGCTGTTAAAGAGCTGCTCCCTCCATGTCAAAATAAGGTAATGGTTTGACTAGGAATGCTTATTAAAAATGATTTTTGTGGTGGGAGATGTAATTTGAACCACAAAATTTTTCCCAATCATATGTCGATTCATGTTAGCTGACCCAAAACTCTTTTGGGATGAAAGTTTGGATGCTGTTGCTGTTGTACAAAAGTTTTCCTTAAAAATAAATAAATATGCTGTTGTAGTAAGCTTTACTAGGACCGAGAGTATTAGTCTCCTCGAAAACAGAATACAAAAGTCATTTTATTACAAGCATGGTATGAAATTTTATTAGTTGACAAAGCCACAAAGGGGCCCCTAAAACTTGATATTTTGTCTGTCATTGTTAAGAATATGTACCTGAATGAAAATCTCTGTATGAAATTTAATTTTCAATAACTACTTCCGAAAACATGCATATGAAACAAAGTTAAGGATAGAAAGCATAGTGAATAATTATGTCTATGCAGCTATGCCTTGGCCCATGGAAGTTGTAAAAACCATATTAATACGTACATAAAAGAGCATACATTGTCTCAAGGCCGAAATAATATATGCACCGATCATGGTAAAGAAGGGGAGTTAAGAGGCGGCCAGGTGGGTTTTGAGGCACGCCATAATGTGACGCACATAGATTAGGTATTGAGGCTCGGTTTTTTTTAAAAGACTGTATTTTTTTAGGTGGAATTTTCTTTGCTTGTTTCTTTTTTCTGTGGTTGTATGTAGTTGTAACTTAAATAAGGCCCAGTAAATTTTACTTCATAAAAGGTCCGTGCATTAAATGTGTGCAGACATATACATTCTGAACCCTAACAAGCCTCATCATCATCATCATCATCATCATCACCCCAGTGCCGCAAAGGCTCCCACCTACAATGGGGTAAGGGGGGTCGGATGTACGGTCTTACCCCTGTACTAAAGCACCGACAAACTGTTTCTGGATGACCCATAGTGAAAATCACGTCGAAAATTGCATGGACTGACGGTTGCTTCATAACAAAGAAGCACAGACAGTTTAGTGAGCCATACTCCTCCACAATGATAAGAATGGGAGGAATTTGATAGTAATGATGGAAGGGATGATGGTGTAAGGCTATAAGACATGATGATGATGATGATGATGATGATGATGAGAAGAAGGCTATAAAATATGGAAATTAAGCATTTAAGCTTCCAGCTTTCTAAATTGTGTCATTTGTGTGATGTGTTTGTTTTGTGTTAGGGTTCTTATTTTGAATTATCATGCTTGATAATGTGATATTTGGGACCTTTTGGACTTACAATTATGCATATCTTTAGTTGGTTTTCTGTAATTTATACGGAGTATAATTTTACGTTTTATTTGTTGGTACATTTTGAGGCTTATGCCTCAACTCTCCAAAAACAAACAATACCAGAACTAGCCTTTTTAAACTTTGGAACTGGTGCAATTTTCACTGATGTTGATTTCCTTGCTTTAGTAAAGTGGAGTAATTACTTATTACCCCTTAGTGATGTTGAAGAGCTGCTCCCTCCATTTCAAAATAAAGTGATAGTTTGACTAGGAGCACTTATTAAAAATGAACAGTGTGCTGTGAAAAATAAATCAAATAATAGGAACCACACATTTTTTCCTTAAAAAGAAACGAATACACTGTTTTTTAGGAGGCTTTACTATGACGAAGAGGCTTTCTTTAAAATTTATTACAAAAGTTATTTTATCAAAATCATCATTTTAACAAAAGCACAGTTTTAACAAAGGGGCTCGAGCACATATTAGTTGAACATTAAAACTTTACCCAAAAGTAAATAAGAAATAATCTATGTCTTACATGTTCTTCTTGATAACAATCTAGATGCCGTGAGTTTGATCGGGAAATTGGCTGAGGCGGTGAGGGGATAACAGCGGTAGCTGCTGTGATAGTCATTTGAGAGTAGGATCAGAAAAAAAAATAGGCTCTTAAGAGTATGGCTCTTGATACCATGAAAGTGTTGGATTGTATTGATAATTATGATGTACACTTGGGATACATTTATACACGTACAAGAGATAAACTCAAGCTAACTGCCTAGCTAATATAAAGGATATAGCTACGGACTAGGAGCTAATATATACAATTGACTAGTCTATGATATTATCTAATAGAATAATAATAATAATATAATTTATGCTTTAATAACCACTACAGTGGATCCAATTATATTGATTTCCACAGTTCATAAAACTATATGGTAGGTAACTTATGGAATCCGATTGATTTTTATTAAACTTACTTTAGCAACACCACCAATTCTCAGATTTAGCATCTACAAAGATAAAGCGCATTCTCTCAAATGCTAAAACTGCCATCAAAAGAAAGCTGGAGAAATGCGTCAGATTCAAAAATGAAATTGAATAGAGGATAAACGCGCTAACATGCCGCCAAGCCAAAGCAATCCCCCATTCATATCGGTGAGCTATAGAATGCCAAATGTAAGTCATACAGAGATATATATGGAGGCAGGCATTCATAAAGAGAAGAATAGGGAAATAACCTTCCAAAATTGGATCTAAGCTGCTTTTCTGAATTTAGTTCCGATCCCCTCTGAGCATAAAGTCCAGACTCAATATAGTTAGAAGGCAATTGCCTATGCGAACCTCCGTTGTGCGTGTATATATAATGAGATGAACATGCGCTTCTCTCGTTCTCCTTCCTAGCCCAAGACGATCTGCATTATCCTACCTCTTCTGCTCTTTGTTTCTCAAGCTGAGAATCTAGGGTTTGACAACCGAGAAAAGAAACACCCTGGAAAAAAGAAACGCACGCGATAATAGAGAATAGAGAATAAAGATACAAAAACAGCGCCTTTTGATTTTACTGGAGTAGTATTTTACCGTTCCCTGTTGGAATGTTTCACACAATATTACAACATTGGGAATCCCTTGCAACATTTTTAATTAATGAAAAAACAATTGGAGCAATACTTAAGAAAAATATCATTTTGTTGTGAAATGAAGAAAATGAAGAACAAATTTAAAGAGATAAACATATTATTAATAAGTTCTAAATTACTTCTTTTTAATATATGAGATTTTCTGAATGTCTGAGTTACCTTACAAAGGATTGATCAAACTCTATTTATACTAGCCGGGCTTGGTGATGAATCATCAAAGACTAGTTCTACATATTTTGCTGGCATTATTAAACTTAGCCATCTGTCTATCTATGATTACAAGGATGGAAAGAAACTTAGTGTCCTAATTACAAGGATGATGACAAGGATGAACAATTAACACTTATCATTCCCTGGATTTTACAACACTCCCCCTTGAATGTTCATCCTTGCATATGTATTTATATTAAAATTTATTATGAAAAATTAAAGTTAAGGGGTAAGGATTACGACTTATAATGTCGTTGTATTTGGATGTACTGTCTCGTTAGAAACCTTATCAGGAAAATCCAGTGGGATAAAAACCTGATGAAGGGAAAAAGAGTGCAGTGCATTCAAATACTCCCCCTGAAATTAACATAAGTTTTGAAGGCGGCGCATGCCGATTTTCTGTACAAGTTCTATGAACTTCTTCAGGGGTAACAATTTGATGAAGAGATCAACCGGATTTTCACTAGATCTGATTTGTTGAATGTTGATCGTTCCTTCTTTCTCAAGGTCGTGAGTAGAGAAGAATTTTGGTGATATGTGCTTCGTTCTATGTCCTTTGATGTAGCCTTCCTTAATCTGAGCTATGCACGCAGTGTTGTCTTCGTAGATCACAGTCGGGTGACAAGTAATAGACTTCACACCGCATTTATTTTGGATGTGTTGAATCATAGATCTCAGCCACACACATTCTCTCCCGGTTTCATATAGTGCAATTAACTCCGAATGATTTGATGATGTAGCTGTCAATGTTTGTTTCATAGATCTCCATGAGATTGCGGTATTATCATAAGTAAATACGTTCCCGGTTTGTGATTTCTCCTTTTGAGGATCTGATAAATATCTAGCGTCTGCATATCCGATTAAAGCGGCTTTGGCATCTTTGTGATAGAATAGACCGAGGTCAACTGTACCACGAAGATAACGAAATATGTGCTTGATCTCGTTCCAATGACGTCTTGTTGGACATGAGTTGTACCTAGCTTATAAATTTACAGAAAATGCAATATCTGGTCTAGTATTATTAGCTAAATACGTTAAAGCTCCAATAGCACTCAGATATGGTACTTCAGGACCGAGTATTTCTTCGTTGTCTTCTCGGGGACGGAATGGATCATCGTGTATGTTGAGAGAACGAACAATCATCGGTGAAGTTAGAGGATGAGCTTTGTCCATATAAAATATCTTCAGGACTTTCTCGATGTAATTGGATTGATGTATAAAAATCCACTCTTCAAATGCTCATTTTGAAGTCCGAGACAAAATTTGGTTCTCCCGAGATCTTTCATTTCAAATTCTTTCATAAGATAATTTTCAGTATTTTCAATTTCATCGGGAGTTCCAATAATATTTAAGTCATCAACATATACTGCAATTATGGCGAATCCCAAATTTGATTGCCGAATGAAAAAATATGGACTAATCGGATCATTTTTATATCCTTCTTTGAGAAGGTATTCACTGAGACGATTATACCACAGTCGTCCAGATTGTGTTAGTCCATACAATGACTTATGTAATTTAATGGAAAACATGTCTCGAGGTTTCGAGCTAAAAGATTCAGGCATTTAAAATCCACCGGGAACTTTCATATAAATGTCTGTATCGAGTGAACCGTATAAATATGCAGTTACTACACCCATTAGGCGCATTTGCAGCCTTTCTAAAACAGACATGCCAATGAGAAACCTTAATGTAGTTGCATCAACTACTGGAGAATATGTTTCTTCATAATCAATTCCCGGCATTTGAGAAAAACCTTGGGCAACAAGTCGGGCTTTATATCTAACAATTTCATTCTTTCATTGCGTTTACGCATAAATACCCATTTAAAACCCACAGGTTTTACACCTTTTGGCATAGGGACTATCGGTCCAAAAACATCATGTTTTTCAAGTTATTTTAATTCAGCCTGAATAGCTTCATTCCATTTTGGCCAATCGTGTCGTTTCCGACATTCTTCTATTGATGTTGGCTCATTGTCATGGTTTTCATTCATAACATTTGTGGCAATGGCATAGACAAGTATCTCATTAATATCAATATCTTTTCGATTCCATTCCATTGCATTCCAGTGGAAACGTAATTTATTGAAATTTCATAATTATTAACGTTTCTATCATTATCTGGAATATCTTCCTTATTTAAGAAAATTGGATCGTCATTTGAGATGTTTGTTTTGTCAATATCATTTTCTATGCCAGTATTTTTAAATTGTTCATTTTCTTGTTCAGACGGATGAACATCTTTGGCATCACAGATCAATTCTTACCTTTTAATTTTTCTTGGTTTTATATCTTTTGATCCAAGCGGCCTGCCACGCTTTTTGCGTATAGAAGGATCATTTGCAAGAGATTTTTCAGAATTCTCTGCTGGGATTTCGATTGTGGCAGGAGCATTCATTGCAGGAATATGTGACCTTGTCACTTTCTTTGTATCTGTGAATGCATCAGACAACTGATTTGCAACATTCTGTAAATGGATTATCTTTTGCACCTCTTGCTCACATATATTTGATCTTGAATCAAGGTGTGATAATCATGTTGCATTCCATGTTATTTCTTTCGTACTTGGGTCTGATTTATTAGTTTCTCCCCCTAAGGTTGGGAATATTATCTCATTGAAATGACAGTCAGCAAACCGTGCGGTGAATAAGTCACCAGTCATCGATTCAAGATATTTTATTATTGAGGGAGATTCAAATCCAACATAAATTCCCAACCTTCTTTGAGGACCCATTTTTGTACGATGAGGTGGAGCAATCGGAACATAAACAACACAACCAAATATCTTTGTGTGTGCTAAGTTTGGCTCTTGTCCAGTAACTAATTGCATTGGGGAATATTCATGATATGCAGTCGGTCTAAGCCGAATTAAATTTGTTGCATGTAAAATAACATGTCCCCAATCTGATGAAGGTAAATTACACTTCATTAATAATGGTCTAGCGATTAATTGTAAACGTTTTATCAACGATTCAACAAGACCATTTTGTGTATGGACACGAGCAACATGATGCTCCACATCAATCCCAATTGACATACAATAGTTGTTAAATGATTGAGAAGTAAATTCTCCTGCATTATCAAGTCGGATTCTCTTTATAGAATGATCCGGAAAATGAGCTCTTAATCGTATGATTTGAGCAAGGAGTTTAGCAAATGCCAGATTTCTAGTCGATAAAAGACTGACATGTGACCAACGGGTTGAATCATCAATCAACACCATAAAATATCGAAATGGTCCACATGGTGGGGCTTTTTTTTTTAATCAGCACATGGTGGGGCTATCGGCCCACAAATATCTCCTTGAATCCTTTCTAAAAATGCAGGTGATTTAGTTGCAATTTTGTTCACAGAAGGCCTGATGATCATTTTGCCAAGAGAACATGCATTACAAGGAAAATCACTTGATAATGGAACCCTGATATTCTTTAATGGGTGTCCAAGTGAAGTCTTAATGATTTTATGCATCATTACATGGCCCGGGTGATCTAAACGGTCATGCCACAACATGAATGTTTTATGATCATCTAACTTTGTGTTAGAAACCAAATTTATTTCGAATGGACTTGTTGGGTTAAGGGCCCAAGCCGAGGTCCGGCCCACTAACCCATTTTGCCAGACGAACGTCCAGCTAGAAACCAGGCCAGCCCACAGGCCCATGTCTCTTGAGGATGGACGAACGTCTGGTGTTGGAGGACTCAGGCCCAGCAGCTCATTCCGACGAACGTCTGTGCAGAGACAAAGAGCAGAACCACGGGCCAGCGGGGATGGCGACGAACGTCCCCGGAGCAAGCCTGTGGTCATCGAGGAAAACCCAGTGCACATGGTGAGTATCTATCAAGGCCAGGCGACGAACAGCCGATATCCCTCAAGGGTCACTTGGAGCAATCCAACTCACTTCCGGGGTGGACGAACGTCCCCACTGATCCGGCGGGAAACCTAGATTCTGGCGGGAAGTGCATTTAATGCTAAAGATTTGGTAGTTGGGACACCAGCGGTCCACAGACTGCCACGTCAGTACAGCCACCTGCCCATTGGCGGGTATAAATAGAAGCATTTATTTCATTGTAAAGGGTTGGCAACTTTCTATTCTTAGCATACTAGCTCCAGCATTCTTACGAGTAGCATTTCTATCGCCTTGTAAGACGAACGGCCGACGTGCCCTTTTTAGCAAGTAGATTGTACTTAGGGGAGTTATTACGAAGTTAATAATACCTATTTACATTGCCTGCTATTACTCTTGTTTCCTGATTCATCTGATAGTTGTTGGGCTAGATAACCACACACTCACTCCACTCGAAATCTTTGGGCTTACGTGTTGGGTCCAAGGGTTGAAGGAATAAACCTCAACACTGGCGCCGTCTGTGGGAAACTGAGCTAAAAGTTTCCAGAAACTCTCCCAAACAGCTACTAAATCTACCCACAGCAAGCACAATGTCAGGAAGCCACAACCAGCGTGATCTCTCCGAACGTCTGGAGTCAAGCCGCCGGAATCGTGGCCAGAACTCGGAACGATCCGCAACAATATGGACCTCCGGGGGAAACGGGGGTATCACCGACCTCATTCCCCTTGAGGCCAGGCAGGATCCCCGCCTCATGCGGGAACTTGCGGACACCATGCGCCGTTTGGCGGACGAACG